ACACACATGTGCACACAGTAGCCCTAACATTGATTAAAGTGATATTTAAGAAGCTAGCTGGGGTCACTACACAAATCTTTCAGTAAGGGAAGTTTTCCTTCCAAACTACAAATGTTCACATTCTAAAACTTCATTTCTCTTGATCTAATTTTCAATCTTTTTTTGATAAAGAATTTAAATCCTATGTCAGTATTTAAACTAGTTTTTTCTTAAGTGTTCTAAAATTCTATAGAGTTTAAGACTCTCCATACTACAGATTTTCAACTTAGAAAGGCAATTTTAATTCTAATACAATCAGAATTTGATCTGGAGTTTTCATTATAGCAAACTGTAACTTGAACTGATGTCATTTCTATTTTATTATATTGTTACATGATGTGCTGTAATCCGGTTGAACTTGCAATTTCAGAAACTGATCTTTTTTAAGAATGCCTCTAAGGCAAATGAAATTTTTAAGAAATGATTGCTGGTTAAATATCTGCTATTTGGAAACCAATCATCTGACAAAAATGAGAAATACAAACTGCAGTCCTCAGAGTAGATGATAATTCACCAGTTTAAAAGTTAAGCCAGGAAGTTTATATATGTTAACTTTATCAGATATGTGGGTATTACCAAACCCACTGTGGGAAGTGGAACTCAAAAAGTTTAAGAGCCACCCAAAAATTAGGTGTCTGAACCAGAGTTTGAACCCACATGTTCTTTCCATGAAAGCATACGTTGCTGACCTTTCCATTAAGGTTACTTCATCCACCGCAACTAAGTGGTCCCAGTGAACCACTTCCTGGAGCATCAGCACATCTTCATTTTACCACTTGAGTGTTCTACCTGAAATGTGTTGTTTCCCTTTTTCTTTAGTAAAGTCCTCCCATCCCCCAATACCTTACTCAAATCAAAGTGCTTATGGAGGACCCTGCCCTTATGTCCCTCGTGGATTTAACATCTCGATGCCATTTACCTGCTCTATAATGTGGTCAGGACTTTAAGTTGCTTTCTTCTGGTAGACAAAACGTGTTACTTGATAAATATTTATGGAACAGAATGAAAGGGTTCGTTCTGTGTAACATGCATTAGAACAAATCCTTTGAAAAGTTGTATTATACTCCTCGAGAACAGTAATTGTTCCTGGAAACTTTTTTAAACGCTTAGAAAATAACTTCTCATAAAATGTGCCCCCAGTAAAAGGTCAACAAGATTATCTCCTCTTTCATTACTCTAGCACATATAATTTCCCTAAAGAAATGGTTGTGCCATAAAAGGATAATCATAAACGACCTTACTGTAACAGCTGCTAGATGGTACCCTGATAAAGTTATCTGTAAATAGAAAGGAAAACAACTGATAATATATGCAACTGGGAAGCTCTGCTGTTTAAAAATATTTCAAAACATGTTTGGAAACAGACCTCTTTTTAAAGAAAATAAATTATTTTAAAGATCCAATAAAACTTCAGTTGTGCCGAAAATGTGATAAGAAGCCAATTACAGAAGTCTGATGACTCAGGTTTGCTCACAGAGGGTGGCCGGAAGGTTGCAAATTGTGGAATTTCCTCTGACCTAATACAAGAATAGGGTGTACATGATCTCCACTGCGGGGATAATATAAAAAGCCATGGGAGCTCTTCACCCAGTACAAGTCCTTGGGGACAACAAAGTCACAGGCGTCTAGGACAAGAGCCAATACGACACCTCGTGTAAACATGACTTCCAAGCTGGCTGTTGCTCTCTTGGCAGCTTTCATGCTTTCCTCAGCTCTGTGTGAAGGTGAGCACGCTCTTCCAATCCCAGGTTTTCCTTAGGTTTAAATGCGATCCTTAGATAACAAGAGCATCTTTAATGCTTTGATAAAAAATAACATTTTTATTCAGGAAAAGAAAATAATTGTCAGTTAATGTCAGTTAAGTTGAAGTTTCAATGTTTTAGGCTGTATCTATATAACAATTAGAAAAGTATGATTTTTGATTAATATGTGCATTTGTTCTTATCATTCATACTCTGCAATATGCATTTATTTAATATAAATCTATAATTTAGAGTATCTTATTGGGGGCCACAGTTATCCATAATATCTATTAATGTCAAGGAAGAGAAGCCAGGTAATTTTATTCCATGTACTATTTTAATGGCAAGCTTCAGACATCTATCAATTCCTGTTTCGTTTAATCATACCCTGACAAATTATAGACCTTCCTGGGATCCCATTTATGGAACAAATGTAGTCAGTTCAGAATATGTATAGTATATAGTTTAATTTTTCTTTTGTCTTAAATATTAAGCACTTTTTAAAGGTAGAAGACATCTCTGTGCAACTCATTTATATGTTTCTATTAATTCTTTCTGAAGGCAGTTTTCCAATTGGTGAATCTTAGTTTGCATACTATAAATAGCATTGTGGTATCAGAGAGGATTTTGCAATATTAAGTATAAAAAAAGTATCACAAGGATGTCAACATTGCATGAACTCCCAGTCTTTATGTAGAAATTCTTTCAATGTTGTCAGAGATGACTGTTTTTAAAACAAAAAAAAACTGAGGTCAGGCACAGTGACACTATCCAGCCTTTAATTTCAAGAATGAGTTTGCTAAAGATGTGATGTTTACTAAATACACTGATCACATTATTGTGTTGGGATTAAAGAGGAAGTGGTTAGCAGAGCTGTGCCTATGGATGAGATCAACCTTTAACTGTTTTTATTTTTTTCACAGCTGCAGTTCTGTCAAGAATGAGTACAGAACTTCGATGCCAGTGCATCAAGACTCACTCTGCAAGATTCAGTCCCAAATATATAAAAGAACTGAGAGTGATTGAGAGTGGACCACACTGTCCTAATTCAGAAATCATGTAAGTACTTTCAAATGTGTTTGGATATTTTGCTTTAGTAAACCTAGAGCTGAGGAAGCTAGGAGTATCCAGCAAATTTCTAGGCGCTAGGAATACTGCAGTGAGCTAAAACTAGGCAGCTGGGCTGGCTTTTGTCGCTTCTTCACACCTTCCTGGAAGCACACTGCTGGCCCAGGTTCTTCTGCCATGCTTTATAGCAACAATCTTAACCTATTTGCTGACAAAATTATTGTGATTTTTTTGCATGGCATTTAAATATGGGGACTTCCATGATTCATACATAGCCTGTGCTTAGGGGACAATCACTTGAATGGCAAAGGGATATTTGAAACCCCTCAATATTTATTTTAATCATATCCCTTTCATTTCAGTGTAAAGCTCCTAAAGGGAACTGAGGTCTGCCTAGACCCCAAAGAAAAGTGGGTGCAGACAATTGTGCAGGTGTTCTTGAAGAGGTAAGTTGGTTTTTATAAAACAATTTAGATTTTCATTTGTCCTGAGATATATAGTCCAAAAGTCAGCCTATAAAGTTCCTGCTACTGCTGAAAATATTTTTTTGGGTAACTGCCTCTTTAATTAAAAATAAATAGCAGCAATAGTGGGTTTCTTGTACTCATGGCTGGGAAAACCACACATCTCATTTGTCCAGGGAAGTCTGGGTTTATAAGCCTGTTCCCTGTGTCATTATTATGGTTCCTTTCCATTTTCAGAAGTGTGCTGGTTTGGATGATAACTTACCCAGGCTCTCTATTTATAGTTGAGAGTATAGAACATTTTTAACACATGACTATCTAAAACTATATTAGTTTTTATATTGAAAATAAGAATCACACTTTATTCTTTATTAGAACATTGTTAATTTTTAAATTTCATTTTGTTTATTTTCAGAGCTGAGAAGCAAGGTCAATGAAAGAAAAAAGCATTCTCCATAGCTTCCAAGAATTCCTCAGTAAAGATGCCAATGAAACTTCAAACAAATCTACTTCAGTGCTTCATGTGCTGTGTGTGGCTGGTGCAGAGTTGCCAGATAAAATACAGGATGCCCAGTTTGATTTGAGTATTAAGTAAAACAATGAATAGTTTTTTCACTGTCTCATGCAATATCTAGGTCATTTATATTAAAAAAAAACACCTAATTGTTTACTATACATTCAAATTTAGCTGGAAATCCTGTATTCTCTCTCTATTTTTTGATTAACTATTATAACACTAGTTCACTAGCCAAGATCCATGAATCCTTTTAACAGTGCCTTGGCTTTTTCTTCAGGAGAAAAAGTATCAGCCACCTTCTTACCTCACAGAGATGTGAGGACATTTGGAAGCAATACAGCTTTTGTTCATGGTCATGTAAATTATTTTCAAGTGTAACTTATTCATCTATTTATTATTTATATATTTATTGAAGCATCAAGTATAGTTATATCTGTGCATGAATTTGGAAACTGGAATAGTATAATGATTATTGCAAATTTATATTTGTTTTAAATATTAAATAATAGAGAACTGTCTTGATCAAAGTTTTATTTTGATCAAACTAGCTAGACTTAACAAAGTTAAAAACAAAGAAACAGAATACCCTGTTATTTTTATTCCAGGTAAACAATGAATAATTTTTTAGTTCAAATACATCATTATTTATATAAAATGTTAAATAAACTGGCAGTCCTACTTCGGACACGCCCTGTGTGTGGTCCCGCGGCCACAGGGCTGGTTACGCAGCTTTTCGTTGGGTCACCAGGATCCCAGGTTAGGGCTGTCTTTCTCAAGACAGCAGAGATTCACCAGGCAATAACAACAAAGTAACTTCTTGCGGGTTAAAACCTTTTCATTATGTACAAATAGATTCTCATAATTTTATTTAAGTAGTTGTGTTTTTTAACAGTCACTTGAAGATACTTTTATGTATTTTGAAAGAAACTTTTTTCTACTGTTTTGTTCATATAGAAATATAACTGCAAGCCTAAAACCATTATAATAAAATTTATTGTCAAAGTCATCAGGTGTTGGTGTTTCTTTGGTACTTTCAAAAATAATTGTTTCATATTTTTGGTTGTATTACAAATATATGATTTAGAAAACATAAATGCTCCCCCTGAGTGTTCTGTACATTATGTAAAAAATGACAAGCCTTTATTTGTAGAAAAACAGAACTTTCCAGAGATGGCTGCAAACATGAGTCTTTTCCACAGAATGATGGAAATTTCCTCAACTCCCTGTTGTATGCCATTTTGCTGATACAGCCAGCTTCAGAGTTTCTGAACCAGCCCAGTTGTCTGCACAGCACAGCATACAGAGCCCAGGTGTCCATGAGAGGGGGAAGAGGGTACACGTGATAAGGTGCTTCTTAGATAATTAAGGAGTAAAACTGACACCTATGAGACAAAGAAGTTAAAAATATGAATAAGACCAAGCATATTTGAAAACAAATCAAACAAAACTCTTAGTAAAAACTATAATAATTTAACTAGAACACTCAGTGCATGAGTTTTATAGCAGATTAGACACAGCTAAAAAGAAAATTGGAGATCTAGAAAATAAAGCCACATAACTTTATCTAGAATTTATACAAGAGATAAAAGTTGGTAAATTTAAAGAAGAAATGGAAATACATGCAGAATACAGGGATAAAGTCTCCTCAGTGTCTAATTGGAGTTTTATAAGCAGTAGAGAGGGTCAGAAACAAGATTTAAACTAACAGGGGCTGAAAAACTTTCCAGAAATGATGAAAAATAACAACCCACACTTTCAAGAAATCCAATTTCTTGGATTTAATCCAATTAAATCCAAGCATTTAACCAATGCTTACATTAACATTCCTAGTAAAAAAAAAAAGAAACAAGGATCTTAGAACTTAGATTCATACTTGTCTACCTTCAAGACCATTTGTTACTGCTGTTGGGCATTTCCAACCGGCTCTGTTTTAAAGCTCCACATTGGGGAGTGAGGAAGGGGGCCCGCTGTTATTTTCTCACTAGTTAATTGAAATTGCAACCTACTTCTCCCATGTCACTTAGCTTCTTACAATCACTCCGTGAACCTGGAGCTGCCCCTCTATGGGTCAACATTATCTCTGGTGCAGATTAAAGCCCATTCCTTTTTCTAATTTCCAGTGCACATTAACACAAAAGTGTGCAACATCATAGAGTTAGTAAAATATTTATAAGTGATATACAAGCAGAAGCCAACTGGAAATTTAGTCCCAGTATTTGTTATTCTTAGAAACACTGTTCCCACGAGTGGTGATTCTCCCTCTCTACGTTTTTCTCAGGCTTCTCATGTTGTGGGGCTGCTTCTTCCTCCTCAGAGCTCTGCCTAAATTTCATTTCCATATTCTCCTCTTTAACATCAAGTTCCCTTGTCATACCCTCCTTTGCAGCCTTTTATTACCTTGTGGGATCTTACACATAGGAATAAAAACAATTATAAACAAATACTTTTTTAAAAAGAGTTTGCTTGCATCTCTCAGATGAGCCATTACTTCTGCAGGGTTTATAAAATATTGTAGGAGAGATACAGGGCTCTTCAGAGGAGATATCAAGGAGTTATTTAACTTAACTAGCCTAGGTTTTCCTGAGAAACCAAAGCTAGAGTGTGAAGGATGAGTAGGAGTTAGACACACAAAGGGAAGAAGACTGTGTGGGAAAGAGAAGTCTAGACAGCGGAGAAGTTATTTGTAGGCAACAGCATGACGTGACTTGAGAAGTGAAAAAGTTCAGTGTGACTGGACTTCACAATGAAACTGAGCAAGTACTAACAGATAAAGTTATGCTAAATGGACTACAAAAAGTTCTAAAGGACTTAGATTTGAAACTGAAAACTTCTGATGGATTTCAGTTACTCTCATTTTAAATTGTGAACATTATAGGCCATTCTTCTTTCTGGTTCTCCTTCCAGAAGGAAGTAGGAAGCCATGAAAGCAACTCAAAAGTCTGAGTTGCTGACTTCTGAATGATATTTGGAAATCAAATTATCAAAAAATTCCCAACTTTATATAAAACCTACTAATGTGTTAAGTACACTTCTTTAATATAATCAGCATCCAATCTTGAAAGCACAGTGAAGAGATCCAAAAGGCAAATTGGGTCAAATGGATATTAGGCATTATGTCCACAGGCCAAAATGGAAAAGTGAAAAGTGAGAGAGTGTGAGAAGAAGAGTGAGAGAGAAGCAAAAACCAGTCACTTTCCTACACTGAAAATTTTCACTTAGTTTTGCCTCAATGATATTAGTGAGACTGCTATACAGGCACAGGTTTTATTTATATAGACCCAGATTTAGACACAAATTTAAACATGCAATCTATCACCTTGTACTTTTCATCCACTTGTGTGGATTACAAATTATGAATCTAATTTTACCAAGTAGTAACATGACTATAAAGATACACACACACAATAAAAGAGGTATGAAGAGACAATAAAAAAGTGTCCACCTTAAAATTACATTAATTGTAAAATTCTATAATACTTATATTTCACATACAACATACAAAATCAGGTGATTTTCATAATTGCCTGTTTTGGTTTGCTAGAGATGCATCAAGAAATAGACTCAGGTTGAAGTCACCTAAGAATAATTTTTCATTCTCAAAATTTTGGCAAATGTACTTATTTACTGTAATAAAAAGTACTGTAATGTAAAGTACTTATTTACTGGCATGCATTTTGCCATCCAGGCTATGTTTGGAAAGGTCATAAGAAAAAATTTTAAAAAACTACTTTGCTTTTTGCTTGTGGTAGTGATATTGCAAGCAAAAATTGCTTAAGACTGTATTAACCCTGAAATAACCAAGAAAAGGATTAAGAAATCAGTAGTTTCTCCATTATTTACTTAAAAATATAGCCAGACCACAACTGCCTCAAGTTTGATAAACATCAGCTAAATTTGCAAAGAACACACAAAACAAATACAAAATTTTTAAATGTAAATGCTAGGCTGATTCTTCATCACAAGATTTACTGATGGAGCAATCAGGAATTCTCCAAAAGATTACTTAAGCATCAAACCACCCAGCTCTTACTGAGTGCAGACAGAGGCCTTTTCATGCTGTTTGCATTTCCATAGATGAAAATCACGTTGGAAAAATATAATCTACCTATCATGTATCATCTCTACATAGATAGACCTTAAAAAGCATAGCATGTTGGAAAATTAAGACAGGAAACATTCACAGATATTGCTACTCAAAGTCTGCTTTAGATGTATCTGGAGGAAAGTTCTAACAGCTTCTTAAAACTCATGGTGCTGGTCCTGAAGGTAAACTTTTAATGAATCTAGCAATTCTATTTCACAGGGCATGATTTAGCTTAAGTTTCAATAATTACATGTGATTCTTTCTACAGTTGCCATCCTAAATTAATCTTCTAGCATTCATCCCATGCTACTCAAAATGCTTTCACATTTATATTTTTAGTGTTCCCCTAAATGTTTATGTGAAAGTATTCTATATCTAGATACTCCTGCCTAGTTTTACCTTTTTTCTTATGCTTGCAAAAGTATTCAACGTGGCCCGTATAGGAATTCCCTATAGAAACATGTTTTATTTTAGTGACTGATAGTTTCCGCAGGTCTCCAGCAGCCTCATAATTACATATGGGCTGTCTCTCCACCAACTTTCCACACTTGTTTTAGTCTTCTCTAGTACACGCCAGACATGTTTATGGCCAGAGCATCCTTGACTTTTCTTAAGTGAAACTTTGTGATTACTAATTTCATTTACAAATATATATGGATACTAAAAGTTCTCATAGTCACACCATCTCTCTATAAAGCTTGGATGAGGCCTCTGTGCTAACATGAAAAGCATTGACTTGTACTTGTAAGTCCCTTTTCCAGAAAATGTTTCCCTGAAGGAATCTTTTCACTCTCCCAGTTTACTAAAATACTATTTCATTTTCTTTAATTCAAAATGTAGATAAGGGTTAATATAGTCTACTTAGAATTTAAACTATACCTTCCACACGTAATGTACATAGATTTATATGAGCTGTGTGTTTTTTGAATCCATCGTCTCCAATTACTTAAAATTTTCACAAGATTTTATAGTGAACAAAGATACATGAACTCTAATTTTAAAATATGGTATGCTCTGTAGAGAATATATTGGGAATAGAATCAATGCCATTTTTGTACTTGTTTTGCATATAATATGGTATATTAACTTTTACAGATTTAACACTGAAATTCTGAGTCTTGAAAAATCTATGGCATGCGGGGCAGTTGACAATTCTGATACTGCTACACATGTAACTGAACAGTTCAGTTAAACAATTAAGTAAATGATTGGCTGCTGGTGGGAGCCAAGTTTTTCACTGTTTCAGTAGGGCTTTTTTAGATAGGCAAGGGGAGGAGACTAAAATGATTCATGTAGCAATGAATTAAAGTTGGGGACATTAGTAGGAATTTATGTTTAGCTTAACACAGATACAGGTGGATACATATGGAAATACTTCCAGATGTATATAAATGAGTTAGGAAGCACATATATATTTCCTTCCTCTGTCAGCTGAAAAGACCTAAAAGCAATGACAGTCTAGCAGCAACAGCACACCTAGCACCCCGATCTTTGTTTCTAAGACCATTTTCTAATAAGATGAACCAGAGATTTTTGTGAAATGTCTGATCATAGGACTGAGGAAGGAGATATATGAGTCTTGAGCATTTTCCAGCATCAGAAAATAAGAAATGACTCTCTCTGAATAAGATTACAGAGGGTATGTCAAAATGGAACAGAGACAACAAAAACCTGGAACAATAGCCAAAATGTAACAACTTAAGAACAAAATAAATAAAGTAAGATAAGGGTCCAACACAAATAATGCCTCTTTTTATTATAAAATCTTTTATTATAAAATCATAAGCATGTAATTCTATAACATAACAACATTACACCCATGCACACCAGGTGACATTGTAGGTGAACCTTTCAAATTAAAACAATAGATAGATTATTACACCCATATTATTAGCCTGACAACCACACTCAAGCAAGCCTTACTTCTGTCAGACCCTGTATTATAACCCAAAATATAAAGCAAATATTTTTGAGTCTATGCTGATATGAATGCATGTTGAGTTAAATAACTAGATGGAGGAGAATATATACATCTCCCATGCGGAAGAATTCCAAATAACTCACACAGGTACTCCTTCCTCAAGGACATGGAACACAGCTATGTATTTGTGAAGTGTGGACTTCCCACGGGGTCTTCTTTCTAAAACTACAGCATGGAAGGGGGAAGAGGAGGAGTAACTTCACAGCAGAGAGAGCTGAAAGTTAGCTCAGGTCAACACCAACAGTGATCAATTCTATTGGTAGAATGTAATGATGTAATGAAAACAGCACTTCACCCCTGGGGTCTTGCTGCTGAAA